GTAAATTAGTTCAACCATTGTGGAAGACAGTGTGGCGATTCCTCCAGTACCTAGATACAGAAATTCCATTTGACCCAGCAATCCCATTACTGGGTATATATCCAAAGGATTATAAATTGTTCTACTATAAGGACACATGCACACGAATGTTCACTGCAGCACTGTTTATAATTGCAAAGACCTGGAACCAACCCAAATGCCCATCGATGACAGACTGCACAGGGCAAAGGTGGTACATATATACTATGGAATATTATGCAGCCATCAAAAATGATGAGTTCGTGTCCTCTGTAGGGACATGGATGAACCTGGAAACCATCATTCTCAGCAAACTGACACAAGAACAGAAAATCAAACACCGCATGTTCTTACTCAGAGGTGGGTTTTGAACAATGAGAACACATGAACACAGGGAGGGGAGCAACGCATACTGGGGTCTCTCGGGGGGAAATAGGGGAGGGAGAGTGGAGAGTGGGGAGTGGGGAGTTGGGGAGAGATAGCATGGGGAGAAATGCCAGATATAGGTGATGGGGAGAAAGGCAGCAAATCACACTTCACGTGTGTACCTATGCAACAATCTTGCATGTTCTTCACATGTACCCCAAAACCTAAAATGCAATTTAAAAAATTTTCCTAAAATAGACATATATTATGTAAAAAGTCAATTTCTGTAATCTGTAATACTAGTTATGCTTTTTGTTTTTCTGAGACAGAGTTTCGCTCTTGTTGCCCAGGTTGGAGTGCAATGGCACAATCTCAGCTCACTGCATCCTCTGCTTCCTGTGTTCTCGTGATTCTCCTGCCTCGGTCTCCCTAGTAGCTGGGATATAGGTGCCCATCACCACACCTGGCTAATTTTTCTATTTTTAGTAGAGACAGAGTTTCACCATGTTGGTCAGGCTGGTCTTGAACGCCTGACCTTAGGTGATCTACATGCTTCAGTCTCCCGAAGTGCTGGGATTAGAGGCATGAGCCACCGTGCCCAGCACTAGTGGACATTTTTTGTTTGTTTTTATTTTTTGAGACAAAGCCTGGTTCTATCCCCCATGGTGGTATGACCTCGGCTCACTGCAGCCTCCACATCCCTAGTTCAAGCAATTCTTGTACCTCAGCCTCTAGAGTAGCTGGCATTACAGGTGCACATGAACACTGCTGGCTAATTTTTGTATTTTCTGCAGAGCTGGGGTTGCACCATGTTGCCAAGGCTGGTCTTAAACTCCTAAGCCCAGGCAATTCACCTGCCTCAGCCTCCCAAAGTGCTGGGATTACAGATGTGAGCTACTGCACCCAGCCTAAGATGCTAGTATTATTTTACTTAAGTCACTTCTTCATTTTTTTAACCATTTAACATTTATTAAGTTTTGGACTCTAAAGAATCACCTTACACATATTATCTCATTTAATTATTTTAATAATCTTGTGCGATACTATTCTCATTTTACCAATAAGGAAACTGGAGTTTATTTAAGTTAGGTAGTCTAGTCAGTGTTTGAACTATAACTAATACCTATGTGTGATGTCAGAATTTATTTCTTAACAATTTTAGACTAGTATAATGAGATCATATATTATAAGGCAAATAATAAATTAATAATATAAAATAAAAAACTGAACTAATTCTTAAGAACAACTCAGCTACAAAAGATCTGCTCACTTCTGTTAATAATTATAAACTTAATAACCCACATATCTGTGGAAATGTGGAAGGCCATGGACTATGGAATCTATATTGTAAAAATTTAGTTATATGTTCTTTACAGTTTAGATATTCTTACATTGCTATTACTATTTCTAATTAGATTTTACTTTGTTTAATGATGTATAAAGACACAGACTTTTATGTTCAGAAACATTTATGTTCAGCTTTGCCTTTCACACATTTCCTAACCTGTTAACAGCAGTAGTATGAAAGCTACACACAATGGTTCTAGTTAATTTTGTTTTTCCCACATGAGAAGCATATGCCATATTTGATTTTGTAGAAATATCTTATAATTTTATCATTCAAGTATATATTTCTGTATATTGTAAGAAACTTACCATTGATGCTTTGTACCATTACAAACAAAATTATAAAACCCAATCTATAATTTTCCTTTCACTGATTCTAATAATAGACAATACATGCAATAATCATTCTCAAATCTCTTTCTCATATTATGAATAACATTCAAGGTAGAATCCTGAAAAAGCTAAACAGGACTCAAAAGAAGTGCTATTTTCAATAACTAAGTCTACTAATATAAAATATTTCAAGAGTAGAATGGGAGACAGGGGTGACAGGAATGAGGAAAAAAACAGATGTAGATTTAAATGGCCAGAGCTGAAGTTCACAAATTCTGATAACTTCAGACTTGGAACCACCGGTTGCTGAATATATAGATTACATTTACACCTTATTATACAATATTTGAACTGTTTTGAATACTGAATATTAAAAATATCATTCATTCATTTGTTAATTCAATGGAAGTACCCTAGAAGAGCTAAGGTACATACTGAATGTGTATGTGGGAAATGGGAATGAGTTGTCATGACAGATCCTACTTAAGAAAATTAAGACAAAAAAAAACTGACATGAGATATACTATAATGAATATGGTAAAAGGTTGATATATAATGCTATGGAAGTTCAGAGATAATATTAAAAATTTTGAGACATAAGAGACAAAGAAGTGAAGTCAGTCAAAGATGACCTTAAGGTATCTCAAAGAAGTAACTGAGAAAGAAAAAGGACAACAGGAGAAGTGGCCAAAGAAGACAGTATGTTCAGTTTTAGACATACTTATTTTGATATGTAAATTGAGATGTCTGATAGGCAAATGAGGATTGAAATTCATTAATGAAATCAGTCCTGGAGACACAAGATTGTAGACATAAAAGTATATATGGGATAGCTACTTAGGGGCTGAAGTGGGAGAATTGCTTGAGACCAAGAGATCAAGGCTGCAGTGAGCTATAATCGTGCCACTGCACTCCAGCCTGGGTGACAGAGTGAGACCCTGTCTCAAAGAACCCCACAGGTATATAGGGAGTACTCTGAGAGTAGAGGAACATTAAATCAGATAGGGCATCAAGAAAAGCTTTTGATAGCAGGTCGCATTAGAGTTTAATTTTAGAAGATAAACAGAATTAGTTCTCAAAAGATGGGTAAACACATGAGGAGGAATGGGTGATACAAAAAACATGAGAGACTCCAAAGAATAAAAAAACATGAATACACAGCAAAGGCTGTGTGTGTGTGTGTATGTGCATGTGTGTGTGTGTGAATTAGTTCTGAAAAGATGGGTAAGCACATGAGGAGGAATGGGTGATACAAAAAACACAAGAGAATGCAAAGAATAAAAAATCATGAATAGCATGACCACAGCAAAGGGTGTGTGTGTGTGAGTGTGTGAGTGTGTGTGTGTGTGTGTGTGTGAGAACAGGATAAAAACAAAACACAGAATCAGAGACCAGATTATAGAAGGCTTGATGTTCTTGTCCACAGAATCTAAACCTCACTGTGAACACCAAAAAGCATCATGAAAGATTTTCAAAGGGAACCAATATGGTTTGATATTAGATGCTCAATATAATCTATGGCCTCATTGGATGATCATTTCATCTAACGAGAAAGTGAGATTAGGAAGAAGGGGGTATACAGGTGGCAAGGTAACCAGTTTGAACAATAATCTAAGTAAAAGTGATGAAGGCTGAACTAAGGCAGTGGCAAAGAAGAAAAGCAGCATCCATCAGCCACTAAGAAGGCTAAGTGTTTCAAAACTTGGTAATTCTGTAGATATGGGATGTAAATTAGAATGCAGAGTCAAGAACAGTTTCTAAGTTTCTCACTAGGCAGATGGTGGTGCCATTCCTGTAGATGTGGAATCCAGAGAAGTAATCAAAGTGGACAGATGCACTGTCCGAAAACACCAGATCTGAAGCACCCATGAGACATCTACATGAAGATGCTCAGTAGGCCTCTAGGTGTAGAAGTCTAGAGCACAACACAGAGGACAAGCTAGAGATATATATTAATATTTGAGAGCTACCAATGGTAAAGATGGATATGGAATCATGCTGTCCAAGAAGAATGTACAGAGTGAGAAGAGCAGAAGATAGAGGCTAAAACACAAGAACAAAAAGGGGCAAGGAAAGAAAAGGAGCCCACATAGGAAGCAGAAAAAAGCCAAGATTGAAGAAAACCAGGAGAGGTGCATGCCACAAAAATGGAGAAAGGAAAGTATTTCAAGAAGGAATTTTCAGTAGTCTTAAATTTCTTAATGTTCAAAGAAAAGAAAATAAAAGAAAACAGATCACTGGTTTGGCAAGCTTCAGTGGAGTGGTGCAGACAGGAACAAGAAAAGTGAAGAAAAGGGGGAAGTGGTGAAAGTGACTATAAAAATCAGAAGTTTGAGGAAAGAGGAAAATTTTGGGGAGAGTGTCTTAAGGGAATAAATAGATAGGAAGCTAAGTAGGGATAACTAGATAGGGACCCCATGAACCTACAGTGCTGCTGAATCTCTGTGTCTGTGTGACCTTTTTTGGAAGAGCTCAAAGGCTAGGTATAAAAACAGTAATATAGATTTGCAAGATGATGAAGATAGAAAAACAAAGATTAATACACGAATGACAAAAGTAATACATGAATGACAATAGTAATCCACAGAGTCTGAGACTTGAGTCAGGAAGGGAGTAAAACCATGAAGGACAGGGTGGACTTAAGAAAATGTAGTAAGAATCATAATGAATCTAAAAAGCAGATGAGAAGAAGGGAGTGAGAGAAAAAGAAGGAATAAGACATCACAGTAACAGAATAGAACGTTGGCTGAAATTTCAGAAGTACAGTGTAGCCATGGGTATGAGTTCAACATGGAGTGGAATGGAGGGACGCTGGAGTTGAGAAAGGCACTCTGATGCATAATGAATTATCTAAAGGGTTGACTCCTCAAATTACCAAAAATGACTCCAGGACTAAGTATGTTAAGATACACGGGGAGAATCTTTTCCCGAACATATTCATGTTACAAACATTTGTCAACGTCTTTTATCCTCCTGGGATAACCAGGAGGTCATTATATTAAAGAAGAATAGATGGTAGCACAGCTTGGATGGTGCAAGCCTCAAATAAAGTGGTTTTATAAGACAATGGAGGAGCAATGACTGCAATTAGAAATGGAAAGCAAGAGTACTATTTTCTTTACCTTAGGTGGTACTTAGTAAAGGAGAAACTAGGCTTCTATAGCAGGTATTAATAAGATAATGGCCTACGAGATTTGGTTACTGCTGTTTTTAGTTTTTAATAAATAAAGTTTGCTTGAAACACAGTCATGCTCATTTGTTTCAGTATTTTCTGTGGCTGCTTTCATACTACAATGGTATTGTTAAGTAGTTGAAAAGAGATTGTATGGCTTGCAAAGCCAAAACATTTACTATCTGGCCCTTTAAAAAAAAAGTTTGCCAAACTCCACTCTATAGCCAGGGGGAATGAAGACATGGGGCATGGTAGGGGGAAAAAATCTGTTTCAGTTATATCTCCACTTTCAGAAGTAAGTGGAGATAACATTCTTTGAAGAAATTAAAGATAAAGGCAGTCTGTTTCCCTCAAAGATTTCAAAGGACATTGGAAAAAATACGTTGGGAAGATGTGTGAGGATGAATCAAGGGAGATCATAAGGTCAGAAGTAAGGTTATTTATAGAGAGTAAAAATGGCAAAGTAGCAGTTGACAACTACAGGTTGTAAAAGTCTGGAATATATATGCAAGATGGGGAATATATTTAATAATTAGTTAGTAAGAAATAAGTAGTAAGATTCATCCAGTAGTGAGAACTGTAGAAAGACTAGTAGAAAGACTAATCATTAACAGTTTATTTTCTGACACTTCGAGAAATGTTTGCTAGCCCTATAATATAATATAATATGAATATGAAGGTAGAAAAATGTGGTAGTTTATAAAAAGGGGTGAGGATTGGGGTGGGAGACAGCTAGAACAGGGTGGGAACAGAACATGCAGAAACCTGGTTTAAAAATAGGGACTAACATAACTGGCACTGAATTACAAATGCTGAAATTACTAGGGCAATTTAAAGTAGCTGTGTAGCTCACAAAAGAGAAATACAGTCATGTGAAAAAGACTAAAGAAATCTGTTTCAATTGCTTAGTTTCAGTTCTGAGTTTGCCATTTCATTATTAGGAAATTACAGTAGACTGACACTTTATTTTAATCACTAGAAAGACATGTTGATAATTTATTTGCTAAATGCTTATTTTAAAAAAAAGTTTTCACATGTGTATTTTCCAAACTGTTATTATACACTTACCTGCTTTGTTACTAAGCTTATATAAAAAAGTTTGGCGAGGGTCTGAGTGATCTCGACATGTCAGTTGCAAAAGCGAACCTGATTTTTTCCATTTCTGCATAAACCAGAGACCTAGAGAGTCATATATAATATAGAAGTATGAAATGAAATATACAGAAACATATGCCAAGATTAATAATATATATTTCACTTCAAAAGATGACATTGCCTAAATCAGCATTTTTGTTGGCTAATCGAAAATATATTTGGAAAATATTTCCATGTTATGGTAACATTTATAAACATGCATGCTTACGTTAACTATGAATTAATGGTGATTGATGAACGGCTTGCTATTTCTATTTCATTCAGTACTGAAACAGGTAATAGCATATGAAGAACAAATCAGAAAAATTATACCTTTAGATATATTTGTTCAAATGATAAAGAAGCAGATGAAGAAAAACTTCAAATACAGTAAGTCAAATGCCTATGTAGAATGATCAGTCTATAGATAATTAGTTTATGACGTAATAGACTAATTGCAAATGGATCATGTCTTGGAATGAAAAATTGTTTAATGTTTTTTAATGACAGCTGAGTATCATGTTTTATATTAATTATATTTTTTATATTATCAGTAACCCACATTTAAATGCATCTTCCTCTTAAGGAAATTAAGCAAAGTCTCAATCACTCGAGCTGGTTTTCAAGACTATGAAATATTCCTTTCCATTTTCATTGCTTCTAATATTAGACAGGGAAGCAAAGGAAGAAAAGAGTGGGAAAACGATCCTTTAATTAGTTAAATCTGATAGCTGGAAACACACCTGGGAAAAAGTTTAGTGAAGAATGCAATTCAAAGTACCACATTCTTTTCATGTTGGATTCTATTCTACATTATTTAAGGACTTCATTTTTCTCATTCCCTCTTTTTCAAACTGTAGAAGTCTAGAACTGGCTGTATTTTTAAGTGACCAACTTGAAATGGGATACAGAAAACATGGATGGTTTGTCAATAAAAGGAAGTGGTAAAGGAAATAGAAATAAGATTTTCAGGGATCCATGAAAAGAGACAGAGTTAAATATAATTTATTCTTACAATGGATCAACTAACTAACTTATAAACCATTTTTATAAAAATCTAAGGGAAAAACCAAGCCAAACAAAAGGCAAATCAAGGCCAAGTGCAGTGGCTCATGAGGTCAGGAGATCAAGACCATCCTGGCCAACATGGTGAAACCCCGTCTCTACTAAAAATACAACAACTGGCTGGGTGTGGTGTCATGTGCCTGTAATCCCAGCTACTAGGGAGACTGAGGCAGGAGAATCGCTTGAACCAGGGAGTTGGGAGGTTGTGGTAAGCTGAGAACTCCAGTCGGGTGAGAGTGAGACTCTGTCCCCCCCCAAAAGAGAGGGCAAATCAAGTACCAAATATTTCTGACGAGAATATAAATACTAATCAAAATTTGGGTCTTAACTTTCATTTTACTTCTTTAGAAATTTTGAATCACCTTCTTAAAAATGATATTCTTATAATATCTCTTCACTGTTTTTGAACCAAAATTAGAGAGTTAATATTCTATATAAAATGTTGTAAGTTTATAATACATTAAATGTAGGTGTTTGTTATCTGTTCAAGTAATGGAGTACAAAATAGTTTGTTTATAAGATAAAACTTTACTAAAAATATTTAGAATGTAATGAAAACTATGTTCTTGTGACTTTTGACAAATACCATCTCAATATAAGAAAACTCAGCTACATCTTTTGTTTCATGAAATTCCCAGTATGTGACAAATTGGCTCTAAAATAAACACCAGAAAATACGTAGTTCACATTTTTCTCCCAATTTCATATTTTTAATGCAGAACAATAAAACTTTTTACCTGTATTAACAAGAGCACTGCTATTGTAGAGTGTACCAAGGTGAGGTCCAGAAAGAGATAGAAAGGTATGAAGTTTGTTGAGGTAATATTTAAACCTTGGCCTTGTAAGCACTGAGCGAATGATTAAATTGCCCAACGAATGTCCAATAAAGCTTTAAGAAGAAAAAAAAAAAGTCATTTTTCCCACAGCATTAGTTTTAGAAACAAAAATCAAAGCTGATACACTACAAAATGGATGTGAAATACTGAGAACTTGATAATTTCTACTGTTTTAAAAGTATGGTGATACTTTGAAATGATATACCACATTTTGAAGGAAAAAAATGTGAGAATGTATAGAAGATCTTCATTATTATAGAATTTGTTTACAGAAACAAGATATTAATCTGAAAATTTTTAATCATAGTTTGTAGCTGCTTAGAAATATACACATCCAAAGATAATAATATGATTAGATTACACATTTGCCTTCTTAGGCACATACAGAAATTATTTACTTATTAACTCATCATTTCAAACAAAATGATGAAATTGTATTTATGAAGGACAACTTGGAGAAATTATATATCTGTTTCTCTTATTCTCTGGTCTATACTTCAAAGATGGACAGTTTTTGCCTAACAATATTTTCAAGACATAGGTAAAATATGTGCATTTTCCTACTATAAATCTTCAATTATGCAAAAAGAATAATATTTATGTAGCTAGCACTTCACTTTAATTATGAAACGGTTTAAATCAGTGGGCCCCAACATTTTAGGCACCAGGGACCAGTTTCATGAAAGACAATTCTTCCATGAACAGGGAGTTGTGGGATGCTTTTGGGGTTAAACTATTCCACTTCAAACATTAGTGTCTCATAAGGAACACACAGCCTGGATCCCTCACATGCGCAGTTTATAATAGGGTTCACAAATCTAATGCTCACTACTGATCTGACAGGAGGTGGAGCTCAGGTGGTAATGCTACCTCACACGCCCCAATGCCACTCACCTACTGCTATGTAGTTCCTAAGAGGCCATGGACAGGCACCAGTCTGTGGCCCAGGGTTTGGGGACCCCTGGTTTAAATCAAAAGAGCCTGTTTACTTACCATTATTTTACAATAGATGGTATTGTATTCCTTGGGGACAATTAGAGGTGAAAGAAGAGAGCTTGAAAGCTGTCTAGCTTACAGATATATCTTGCGAGAAGCTCAGGACAAACTTCCCTCCCAAACTGAACTTCCTAAAGTAGTGGGGGTGGGAATTCTGATGGTAGTTAATAGTCTACAATCAACCAGATTACACTTAAAAAAAATTGATTATAACTGACAATCTAACCTGAAAGACAATATTTTTGAGGAGGAATAGACTGAAATAACATATTATTTTTCTCATCATAAAATAATAAATGAATAAAAGCTAAACAAGATTTTAAGAACCACAAATGAATAATTACAACAAAAAATAATGTCTTCTTCCCATCAATAAACCTGCACATTCTCCTGTATTTTAACAGAATTCTGTTTTTAAAAATGACTTTAGGTAAAAACTGCTTATCTCTCTTCTTATTCCCTATACTTCAAGTTGAAAACAAGCTTTCCAAAAGCTTACAGTAGACAGAACCAGCTTCTTCGTCTAACTTAGTAGGGATATGAATGTAGTCAGTTTATTCTACCTTTTTGGAAACAAAGACTCTTCTCTCCTACATCTATTAACAAGATCTAATTAAGTAATAAAAACTCATATTGGTGTAATCATCATCTATTGCTTGCTGAAAATGGACTCTCAAAAGTAAACAGATGTCATAAAACCTGGCTGGGCATGATGGCATATGTGTGTAATCCCAGCACTTTGGGAGGCCAAGGTGGGAGGATCACTTGGAGTTCAGAGTTCGAGACCAGCCTGGGTAACATGGCAAAACCTCCATCTCTACAAAAATTAGCTGGGCATGATGGTGCACACCTGTAGTTCCAGCTACGTGGGGAGCTGAGCTGGGAGGACTGCCTGAGCCCAGGGGGTTGAGACTGCAGTGAGCTGAGATGGCACCACTGCTCTCCAGCCTGGGTGACTGAGCAAGATCCTGTCTCAAAAAAAAAAAAGAAACAAACAAAAAAAAGTATGCAAACTTTGAAAGTACTTGAAAGTACTTTTGTTGCTTCATATACATATATGTAACTCAGAGCATATACTACCTCCATTTAAAGTATACAATTCAATGATTTAAAAAATATTCACAGAGTTGTAACTCTCACTACAACCAGTTTTAGAAACCTTTTTCCACCTCAAAAAGAAATCCTACATCTTTTAGTTATCCCCACCATCCCGCATCTTCTCCAGCTCTAAGCAAACAATAATCTACTTTCTTTTCTCTATAGATATGCTTTTTTGGACCTATCATAAATGAAATCATATACTATGATCTTTCCCTAAAATCTTTACTTTTTTTCACTGTAAATTAATTTGAGTTGCAGTCTCCTATATTTCAGAATAGGACAATGCTACCACAAATTTGCTTAACTTTTCTATAATTCATAAAAATATAAAAATAAATTGTATAATATTAGATACCTTATTTTTGAGACTGTTAGACTATATATCTGAATATACTGTATTATCTCATCCAAAAGACGATCAGTCATGCTATCAAAATCAGCAAAAGTATCATTCTAAAAAAAAAGCAAAGCACATACATTATTTTAGGAATATGCATAATCACATGAAAAACAATATAAACATTATTTTTAATTTAGATATTGAAAATATGGTTAAGTCCAACATTTTTTAGACAAGGTAGTCAGTGTAATATTTGTTATAGTAAAATGAACAAACAGAGTAAATTTCTAGGGGGGAAAAAAGGTTCAGTGTTCTTAAAATACTTGCATTATTTAGTTGTTTGCTTAGCTCGCTACCAGTATGAAACATAAGACATTTACAATAGCTTAATTAATGAAATATTTCCATGAAAATGTGAAATTCTAGAACTGTTTCATATGTGAAGAGATCATAAATCAAAAGTTAAATCATATATATTTCCTTTGTATATACATTTATATTAAATTACATAGAAATCATAAAAATTATTTCTACTACTACAAGCATTTCATAGTAGGCCAAAATTTAGGTAGAAACTGGTACAAAAATGTTTGTTTTTACTGAAAACACTGTCATATTGTACCTGATTTCTCTCAGACATAAGAAAATCAATTCTTCCCCCAGGCAGTCCAAGTTCAATGTAAGTTTTTACTAATCGGAGATCTGCACTGTTTCCTAAAAAATGAAAAATGATGTTTAAAGGATGAGATAAAGTAAAAGATACAAAGTACACCATCATATATTTTTGCAGTTTTTAGAGACAAGCTTATGGCCTATGCCATTTGTGACTAGACAATGTACTAAGAAACAGAGTTCCCTATTTTTATGTCAAAGCTGATTTCTATTAGCCAGGCAATGTCATTCAACAGTTTCTTAGCTGGTTTTGGTCATAATGATGCTTTCACTTTTCTACCTAACAATGTATTTATCAAACTGTTAGCACATCACTTTGGTGACTGCTGGCTACAGTAGCTATAAATGGTGCCTTAGCATCACCATTCTAGGTAATCATATAGCAAACTGTGAATGCATTTTAGATTTAGTCTGTTGCCTTTCCTTTGGTAATACCAGAACAGAATGAGAAAAATAAAAATCCATTTAAATATCTAAAATAGTTTATTTTAATACTTTTAACTCAAAGGTACCTACACATATATTTACAATACAGATATAAAACACAAGCGTTCTTCAAAAAGTTCATGGAAAATGCATCACAAAAAAAAAACCTATGTGATTCAAAAATTTTTCATACCAAAATCAACACATACAAATTTGTTATAACATGTCTGAACAGAATCTAGTTTGAGGCGCTAAGAAGGATAAGACAGCAGTTTGAAAAGAACCCTTATCAAACAACATGAATTCTGTTAAAATTGAAGAACAAGCACCAAACTTATGGTGACGCTTCAGTGAAAGAATGGTGAAATAACTGAGGCTTTACAAAAAGTTTATTGGGAAATGCCCCAGAGAAATCACCAGTTTACAAATGGATAACTCGTTTTAAAAAGGGAAAAAACGATGTTGAAGATGAAGCATACAGCAGTAGACCACCCACATCAATTTGTGAGGAAAAACTTCATTTTATTCATGCCCTAATTAAAGAGGATTGACAATTAACAGCACAAACAATAGTTGACATCTTAGACATCTCAACTGGTTCAGCTTACAGAATTTTAACTGAAAAATTAAAGTTGAAAAAATTTTCCATTCAATGGATGTCAAAACCATTGTACTCAAATCAGCTGCAAACAAGAGCAGTTTTCAATGGAAATATTAAACAAATGGTATCAAGATCCTAAAGCATTTCTTCAAAGAATTGTAACAGGAAATGAAACATGGTTTAACCAGTAGGATCTTGAAAACAAAGCCCAATCAAACCAATGGCTATCAAGAGGTGGAAGTGATCCAGTCTAAGCGAAAATGGACCATTTAAGAGCAAAGGTCAAGGCAACAGTGTTTTGGAATGCTCAAGGCATTTTGCTTCTTGACTTTCTGGAAGACCAAAGAATGATAATATCTGCTCATCATGAGAGTGCTTTAAGAAAATTAAGGCCGGGCACGGTGGCTCAAGCCTGTAATCCCAGCACTTTGGGAGGCCGAGGCGGGTGGATCACGAGGTCAAGAGATCGAGACCACCCTGGTCAACATGGTGAAACCCCGTCTCTACTAAAAATACAAAACATTAGCTGGGCATGGTGGTGTGTGCCTGTAATCCCAGCTACTGAGGAGGTTGAGGCAGGAGAATTGCCTGAACCCAGGAGGCGGAGGTTGCGGTGAGCTGAGATCGCGCCATTGCACTCCAGCCTGGGTAACAAGAGTGAAACTCCGTCTCAAAAAAAAAAAAAAAAAAAAAAGAAAAAGAAAAAAAATTAGCCAAAGCTTTAGCAGAAAAACGCCTGGAAAAGCTTCACCAGAGTCCCTCTCTATCATGATAATATTCCTACTAATTACTCTAATGAAGAGGGCAATTTTGTGAGAGTTTTGATGGGGAATCATTAGGCATTTATCTTACAGTCCTGATTTGGTTCCTCTGACTACATTTTTTGTTTTCTAATCTTAACAACTCTGTAAAGGGCATCCATTTTTCTTTGGTTTATAATGTAAAAAAGAAGGCACTGACATGGCTAAATTCCCACACTAAATTCCCTAATTCCTGGGAATTTACTAGAATGACTGGTATAACTGCTTACAAAAGTTATCTTAAACTAGACAGAGCTTACAATGAGAAATGAAGTTTATATTTCTATCTTTTAATTCAATTTTTCACCAATTTTGTTTGTTTGAGATGGAGTCTCACTCTGTCACCCAGGCTGGAGTGCAGTGGCTCAATCTCGGCTTATTACAATCTCTGCCTCCCAGGTTCAAGTGATTCTCTTGCTTCAGCCTCCCAAGTAGCTGGGATTATTGGCATCCACCACACTAGGCAAATTTATTTTTCCACATTTTTTTTGAAGTCCTCTCATATATAATTATCTTCAAAAATAGTTTAGTAGATTCATTTGGTTTACTAGCAATATAAATATGTCGTTCTCAATTGATGAATTTTTATTTTACCTTTCCGATAATTTCTTTTAGAATTTTATGATTTAATGCATTGACAGAAATAATCATTTTATTCTTCATTTTAAAAGGAGTACCTCTAATATTCACCACAAACTGTACGTTTTCTATAGGCTGGAAATATATATGCTTAATCATCTTAAGGAAGTAGACAAATCCTACTGAGGTCAAAGTTTTGTGCTTACTTCTAATAATTAGGAATGGATATTAAATTTTATAAAGTTTCTTACTTGATTTGCTGATGCAGGGTATTTTATTACTAAAATTCTTTATATTACTTATTTTTGCATTCTGGGAAATAAACCCAATTTGTTATAGTAACTTAGTCTGATATATTAATTCCAAGTGCTGGAGTTTTGTTAAATATATTTGCGTTCGTTAAGTATATTTATGTCAGATTGGTTTACTGTTTTTTGGGGGTGGGTGTTGGTGTGATATCTTTATAGAATTTGGTAACAAGGTTAGCTTAACTTTAAGGAATAAAATGGGCTGCTTTCTCTCTTTTTCTCCATTGTTCTAGAACAATTTATGTAACGTAGGAATAATTTGCTTTTGAAAAATTTTTAAAAAGAATTTGCCAGAGATTCTACTGGGTCCAGAAATCTTTCTTGGGAGATAATTCTTTGAAAATCTTATTATTTGGGGAGGGGGAAGAAAAGTTAGCATTGAGAATATTTTATTTCTTGAGCATCTGGTTTGTTTCTTTAAGGAAAAATCGCCAATTTTATGAGAATTTAAAACATTTGTTTAATATTTTTAACCCATAAAAATCTAGTTTGTTGCTATAAAATCTTATTATAACACAGTAATACTGCATTGGTCTAGAGATATCTGACATCTTCTAACAGTTCCTGCATCTAGAAGAAGACTGGTGAGTAACCAAAACAGCTGTCATAAAACCACAGCACTAAAGTCAGGTACCTATATTTATAATTTCATTTATACCTTAATTAATGAAACTTTAACTTGTAGAAATACTGATTTTTCCAGCACATAATGTTTAAAGCAGCCAGTTAAAAGGGAAACAGAGAGACTATCAAAGGGAGACAAAATCACTTCCATGAGGTGATAGCTAGGAAAACCAACAGTAAGAGAGAAGATTAAAAAAAAAAATCCACTAAGTTCATGTCCTTTGCAGGGGCACAGATGAAGCTGGAAACCATCATTCTCAGCAAACTAACACAGGAACAGGAAACCAAATACCGCATGTTCTCACTCCTAAGTGGGAACTGAACAACAAGAACACATGGACACAGGAAGGGGAATATCACACACGGGGGCCTGTCGGGGGTGGGGGACTTGGGGAGGGATAGCAGTAGGAGATGATGGGTTGATGGGTGCAACAAACCACCATGGCACATGTATACCTATGTAACAAACCTACATGTTCTGCACGCGTATCCCAGAACTTAAAGTATAATGAAAAGAAAAATCCAAAATTAAACAAAATGTTGGCACATAAGTGTCAGTTCCATGGAAAACTTACTTATGAAAGAATCTAATATTACACTTAGGATAAGTAAAATTAAGCATATTTCTGTTTCAGAATGCATGTAAGAGTCAATTAATTTAAGCAATTAAAAAATCTTTTTTAGTTCAAAGATTAAATGAAACTAAATGAGATCTATTAGGAAGAAAACATATTGAGTTGCTCTGGGTTACATCAATAGATGTCACATACCATCTAAACCATGCACACAGACAATCAGATGTACTCCATCTTCAGAACCATCCTCTTCTTCTACACTAAAATAAGGTACTGAGGATGCCAGCAGAGGAACTTCACTGTACATGAATCCAGGAAGTTTAAGTTGCTTCAATTCTTCTTTTGCCTGAAGGAAGCTGAAGTAAAATATAAAGATACCCTTTACTAAAGATCATATTCAGTTGTTAGGACAAAAAAGAGTCACCTATATTTAGAGAATTGTAGAAAGGGAAATTCAACATTTGGTTTTAAAACCATGAAAATATGTGGCATCACCTAAGTGATTCAGAAATCAGAGAGTAATTTTCTTTACTATTTGTAGTACATATTCTATCAAATACATTGAACATTTTAAACTTGAAATCACTTAAAAATATTCTTTCAAACTTGAAATCAACTAAGAAACATTATGAGTAAGTTATGTTTTCTGCAAAATTTAATACTGTATGCACAGGAAAGCTGGGAGAGGGACTGGAGAGGTGATAATCTGATGTTTATCCTGTAATCAAATCTTATTCCCTTTGTTCCTTTTTAATCTTGCATAAGTGGAAGGGAAGGAGTGGTTTTTAAAATCTAAGTGAGAATGATGTTTACAGTATTTAGCATATTAGATTATTTGCATTTTTCTCTAAAAATACCAATAAGAAAGAGCATAACCAAGGGGAATGTGACTACATACAATTAGTGGTATATACTTGTTTGCAATGATTGACAATCTAACCAATTTGGGGATTGCAAACATAAAAAATTATTAACTATTTAACATACATCATTTGGACTCACTAAGTCAAATTGGAAGAACCTGATGAACACTAAACTGAGTAGGATGAGCTGGGAGAAAACATATAGAGTCTATATTAGAGATCATTGCTTTCTGATGACTTAGACAGTTTGAAGTACCCAGATGGTGATATAAACTTTAGTTTCCCTGCATATTACAATTTTTTAATTGGCCATTATAACCTCATTGGTTTCACTGGCTTTAGACTCTATGTATCTTAATTTTTGTGTATAAATCAGAATAATCTGGGAATTAAAAAAATCTCTGCGGGGCTAGGGGAGGAATAGCAGGGGTGGGGAACTAGGGGAGGGATAGCATTAGGAAAAATACTTCATGTAGAAGATGGAGGTGATGGATGCAGCAAACCATCATGGTATGTGTATGTCTATGTAACAAACTTGCACGTCCTGCACATGTACCCTAGAACTTAAAGTATAATTAAAATAAAAGAAAAAAGAAAAAAAATCTCTCTCTATATATATACATGCCCAGACCTCTTACCCCAAATATTATGATTCCATCTGGTTGAGGCAGTAGAATATTTTAAGAACCAGTACATGCTAGTAAACCTATATCATCCCCAGGTTTTTCTGGATATTTTAATGGTACATGAAATTTCATTTATGGAAACCACTGACTTAGCTGACAGCAATCAGTGTCTGGTAAGTTTAAGAAGTTTCCAGTAACCTGTTAGCATTTAACTAATATTGTCCTTATTTCCTAGATAAACTCATAAAACTTGGGTTTTGTCTGGAAGTTAATGGAGGACAAATGAGGAACTGATGAAAAAAGGGTTTTAATCTCAATTATTCCATACTTCTAACACAAAACTATCAACGGAAAATTTGTATCAGGAATGTCTAGCCTATAAAACAGCACAATTATTTGGGAACTACGGGTCTGTGTGGCCAAGGGTATATTATGTTCCCTTCTCCATTCTGATAGTCATCAAAGAAGCACTTTTTGTATTACAGAAACCAGACAACAAGGTAGACAATCTTTCAGCACTATCTATGATATTACATATATATATTTAGCAGCAGGTACTATCATGTTCCATTACTTACGCTTGTATTTGAGGTTTTGGTGAACTTTCATACCACGAAACTGAAGAAGTAAAGTTGTAAGAAGTACTGCTTGGCTGCTTTGTAATGGCATCAAATTTACTTTTGGAAGAATATTTAACACTGCAAGGAGACTCTCGTGGTGCAGATGGGAAGGACAAACAACCAGAAGTACAGACAGCAGTAGGCATATTTATACCATCTCTCAGATAGTCACTGTTTATTTTTTCAGATTTTATAAGTCTTTCTTCCATTAATTCATCTCTGCTTGTATAGTGAGCATTTACTGTTCCCTCCAAAGCTGAATAATCTGTTTCTTCATAGTACCCATTTTGAACCATTTGCTGATCCTGCTCCTCTTCCTCATCCTCTTTACCCTGTTCCTGCTGAAGATTACTAATTTCTTTTCCAGAATTTTCCTTCTGAGGGCTAAGTGCATTGCTGTAGCTAACAGCACATGTGTCAGAAATATCCGTATTGCTTTGAGAACCAAAATAATTTTCCACAAGCCCTTGCTTTACTATATCAGTACTGGCTGAAAAAGGATCACTTGTACCCAGATGAGTTTCACTTTCAACTGCAGGGATTTCTGAATACATTTGTTTGATATTTAATATATCACTATTTTTTCTTTTCACACTTCTATCTTCACTACCATCTGTATTAGTAGAAATGGAACCTGAAATGACACATGGAGTGCCTAAACAAATCAGTTTTGAATTTAATGTAATTGCTGTCCCTGCAGAGTTATTAGATTTATCAGGACTCTGGGAGCCTTTACACAGAGTATCCAAGTTAGGTTTGGAGCTGCAACTACTTTTCACTTCACTGGAAGTATCTTCATCTGAAAAAACAAATTGTAAAGGGTCTTTAATGCTTGAATTTAAGGAATGTATTGCTACAGTTTCATTGTCCAAGTGCCCTGAAAATATAACACTCTGCTGTTGCAAAATGATACTTGACTTTTTAGCATCATCACCTTTTGGCAAATCAGTCATTCCTCGATTTAATATGGTTTTGCTATCACTTAGATGACATTCAGGTACAATAGATTTCTTAGAATTTTCATCAGGTGACAGTTCATCATCAGAAGGTAGAGAATTTATGGATGTCAAAGATGACTGTATTTCACTTAATGCACTTGTACTCTCAGTACAATGATTTCCTAATGAAAATTTTACATTATAATCAGGTTTCATCAAAAGCTGAGGAAATAGTCTTTCATTATTGTAAGGGCCTTGTCCTTGCACAGTTTCAAAGACTAAATCAGTGTTTGGATGTGTCGCAAAAGAACTTGGTTCACTTTCAACACCCGAATCTGAAAATCTAGATGAGGCATATGTGGCATTAGTATCTGGTAACTTAATTGTATCTCCACTTACTACAACATGATATTCTTTTGTAGAAGGGACAGGTAGATTACTTCTTAATTTAGTTAATGATTCTCCAACAGAAAGACACTTTGCTTCTTGCAAAGCTTCCTTTTCAAGTGTTACTTCTATAGATTTAGATTTACCATTAGATTCTAAGGACTCAAAGTTGGGTAGTAAATTATCCACAAAGATTTCTTCTTGTCGAAGCTCTGTCCAAGGTCCTAGTTTGACAGTTATTTTCTCTCCACTGAAAGAATCTTTATTACTGGGCTTTATGTCAATTGTTTCTACGCCCAAAGATGGGGTTGTTTGATGATCATGGCAATCGTCTGATGACCTTCTGGGTGCCAGATTGTGTTCCATTTGTGTAATTTCACTATCGTCCTGGGAGATATCAAGTTTACCTGAAATGGACAAATTTGCACAAAGATTTAGGTTGCCAGAGTTCAAAGGATCAAACTCGTCTGGTTGCATATTTTCAATATCTGGAGACTTTTGTTCAGTTCTCTCTGTATTAGCTGGCAAACAGCTAGCTTCCTTTTGACTTGTCTGTCTCATGTATGTCTTTGGGTCAAAATTATGTCCACATATTGTGGGATCCAGACCTTCCTTCTGACTATATGAAGGATTGCCTTCAAAGCACTTAGTGAGATCATTTGATGCCGTACTTTTCAAACATTTGTAGCCTACCAAAACCACAGAATCCTTAGAGTTCTGTTTTATTAATTTTTTTGTGTTTTCAGGTTTCATTGTTTTCATAAGCTTAGTAACCTTAACCTTGGATTTATTTGATTCTTCATTCTTTCCTTTTAGAGATTTTGTTAGCTGCTTTTCACCTTCTGTATACCAAATACTGGAGGCACCAGCAGGTCTGACTTTCAACTCTGGGCTAGAAAGTCCTGCTACAGAGCTTTCTTCAGTCTCATATTTATCCATTTTACTGGATTCTGATCTCTGAAGATTCTGAATTCCCATCCAGGGTGCATCTAAGTCTTTTATCCAAAGAAAAAAAGATTCAGGTTTAAAACAAAGTGTGAGAACTCAAATGATTAAGACTACTTTTTCTAACTATAGCTTTCTAATATCCTCAAACATAAATAAATAAAACTAGAGAGGGAAAAAAACTGTTCCACATTAGGGAATGGTTTTATGTATATTAGGAAGAATATACTGAAAATTATACACATAACTTGTATATTTTAGTTAGATTACACTTACCTTCAGTAACTGAATCTAAATACCTATCTTCAAAGATTATAGGTAATGAATTGAGATCTCCATCTAATTCACTACATTCAATAGGTAAGGGTGGAAGAGAACTGCAGAAGGAAGTATTTTTGATAGCGGTGCACATCTGTAGATGACTCTGAGCACTGAAAAATATTTCTTAAATCAGATTGTAATTTAAAAAAATTATACCCAACTCCCCTTTAAAGATTCTACCCTTTCCCCTTGCCTCTTCCATTCTTATCTCCCATCTGCAAGATATAACCTCCTTATGAAAGAGCTGCTTGGTCAGTGATTAAGTACTGGTTAAATGAAAATGATGATTTGTTGGCAATAAATTGACTTATTAAACTACAGACTGATAATTATTTATGTAATTCCCATTATATTCTTCCATACTTTATGTTATTTCAAAGTGAATTTCTACGCTTAATGTCTTAATATAAGCATAAAAGAGAAATACCAAAAGTTCAACTGCTTAATAATCATTTGATGATAGTGCTGGGAAAAAGATGTGTTTCACTACTACTGTTTCTACTGAACATATATTGACAAACAAAATTAACAGCTATTTAAAACATGATGTATACTTTTTTAACACAAAACAGAAAACCCTGTCTTATGGAAAATTTCAAACAAATCAAAGAATAGTATTAAAAAACCCCACATACATAGCACCAAACTTCAACAATTAACATGTGTCTTTTTTTATCAACACTCACTGCTTACCCTGACACTCTATTTTTACAGGGTTTTTTTGTGGTATAATTTATATGCATTGAAATATAAATATTAGCTGTATGATTCTGACAAATGTATATATGATACAAAACATTTCCATCAGCTCAGACAGTTCCCTTATGTCTTCCCAATCCAGCCCAAGTCAACACCAAGAAAACCACTGTCCTGTCTTTTTTTTTCACCTTAGTTTTGCCTTTTCTATAAATTCATACAAGTAGAATCACACAGTATTCAATTTTTAACACCCAGCTTTTTCGTTCAGTATAATATCCTCAAAATATTCTTTAATGGCAAAGAAAACCAGGAATAAATCTACTCAGTAGGAAAGGTAAAAGGCATTTGTTATGGGTATTTTAATTATAAATCATTTACAATTATAGAAGACAGTATTTATGAAAATATGTAATAAAAATGATGAAAATAAGAAATTCTGAACTGTGAAAATAAAGACTGATGAAAATATGTAATAAAAAATGATGAACATAAGAAATTCTGATCTGTGAAATAAAGAGAATATGGCCAAATGGAAGACTAGAGCCAAAGTTGTAAGAGACTACCAAGATTATGGCAGATCTGAAAAAAAGGAAGGGAGAAATTGAGTGCATTATGTTTGTAAAGTATGGGGCTTTTATGAAGTAATTCATAAGATGAAACTCAATTTGATTAAAGATGGGATTTCTGAAATTCAAATTCTCCTAATTTCTTACATTAATACTGCATATTCTGTCACTGATAAATTCTGAGACACTGATACATATCTTATATAAAAGGAAATAAAATATTTTTAATTTTGGATTTATACTACTCACTGAAGTTCCTGGTATGCAATGGCAGCTTCTCTTGGATGCTCAAAACAAAAGAATGCCTCAGAAAATCTGCGTACCTAAAAAGTTCCAAAAGAGAGTATTAATAACATGGCATATTTAAAAAGTCAATCCGGCATCTTATGGTAGGGAGAGAAACTGCCTCCATTAGGCCTTCCATAATCACCCATCAGAATTAAACTTCCCTTATCCCTCTTCAGTGTTGCCAAAGCACTGAATTTTTGTACTGCATAAAATAAATCTGAAAAGCATATATAAATATAAGCTATTATGATTACCATTACAGCCTTTACCACCTTTTGTCTTAAAATAATTATATATGTGAATCGTCTCCCCTCCTAAATTGTAATGTTCTTTAGAATAGAAGCTGTAGACCAGGTGTGGTGGCTCTTGCCTATAATCCCAGCACTTTGGGAGGCTGAGGTGGGTGGATTACTTGAGGTCAGGAGTTCAAGACCAGCTGGCTAACACGGTGAAACCCCATCTCTACTAAAAATACAAAAATTAGCTGGGTATGGTGACAGGTGCCTGTAATCCCTGTTACTCAGGAGGCTGAGGCAGGAGAATCACTTGAACCTGGGAGTCAGATGTTGCAGTGAGCCAAGATGGCACTGTTGCACTCCAGCATAGGTGACAAAAGTGAAATTCCAAAAGAAAGAGCGAGAGAGAGAGAGCGAGAGAGCAAGCGAGAGAGAGAGAGAGCGCATGCATATTACAAAATCAAGTACTTGGTAAATAAATGTTGAATCTAGCTGAACATTTCTTCCATTACATTTGTATTTTAACCCTTTCACTTTTAATTGTGAAAGGAAAGGCTCTGTCAGCTACTGGAGCAAAAGTAAGTAACATGAGCTGGAAAAGATGTCTTGTTTGGACAGTACAGAGAGGGGAAATTATATTACATCTATGATTATTTTCTCAACAAAGTATAATCTAGGATCCTTTGGTTTAAATGTATAACAAATTAGAGACCTATTTTACTTGTCAATATCCGGCCAGATGAATTTCTGACTTACTAAACTTGTTTCCCTAAGCAGATAAACCTGGGTCTTCAGATAAACAAGTCAACGAGGGAGGTGGATGCAACAACTTTCATATGTTGTCCAAATGCTTCTTTTTTTCCTCTCCAATATTAAAGGAAAGATGAGAAAAGAAAAAAAAAACACATCAGCCTGTCTGACTGTCTATTAAGATGATTTCCTTTGGGGCTATAAAGCATGAAAAAAAAAATGCATCTTTAAGTTATCTGGATTCCTGCAGTTGCAGCTGGACCCCCAAAACTGGTTAGCTGCTTTTCCTTCTTTCTCTACCTTCCCTAAGTCCTACAATAACAATCATTTCTTTACAGTACTCTACCTCACAGTCTCAAAACTAAAAGCTTCATTCTTATTCTTTGACTTAAAACACATAAAAACTCAGTGTCAAATTGAATGATAAAGAAAAAACAAAAAAACTCTAGGATGATATTATCTTCGTTTAATAGGTGAGGAAACGAAGACACAAAGAGGTTAATTATTTGGCCAAGATAACATAGCTAGTAGGCAATAAACCTGTGATTCAAACCAAGATTTGAGAAACTAAATCTTGTGCTCCAAACCACTTATCTTTTCCTTTCTGCATTAAGACTCCTTGTTATTGGAAATCTTTTTTTTCCTGTATGCACCCAAACGAAGTTCTTTCTAAATTCACTCTCAGCATAATTATGATGCTGTAGTTATTACAAGTAAGGGTATTAACTATAGCGTGTGGCCCTAACTAAGGTATGACTGCCACCTGATGGCAATATAGCTTATTTTCAGGCAAAAGTTTGACAAAGAAAAAAATTTTTAATTTACAGATTTAAACTTCCAATATGGGGACTATATATATTACTGCTTTGTATATGTATACATTTGGGTATGCATTTTTTATGTTTATAAAACATGAGTTTTGTGTGCTCAGTTTAAAAAAAGCTTATTTGGCAACATCAATTATTCAAAAGCTAGGAGGAAGAAAATAGCTGAGCATTCAAAGTATTTATTAATGCTTCACAGAGTTAAATACTCCTGTATCTGTGTTCATTCTAATAACGCTGTTCAAATTACTAACACAGTATTTATTATAATACAATTCTATATGTGTACATTCAGATTAGGTTCCAATCTTGAGTGCAGGGTCTCTATCTGATAGATTATATAATATCTATGCTGCCTTGAAAAAAATAAGCACCTTGCAAATGTTTACTGAACAAATGTTTTTAAGTCCTTGCACTACCTCATAGCAAAATACCATAAAGTCCTTTTATTACAAAGCTGATTTATACTTATTATTTGATACAATCCACCTGGTTTCAGTTATTTGCTTTCTCAATCCAGAGCACACTTAAAGAGCAAATTAGACAAAGAAAAAGGAAGAATTAAGAGGTAAAAATAAAAAATGAAGAGGTAAGTACACAGACAGTTTCAAGAAATAATAAGAACGTGATGAAAAAAAAATCTGCCTAGAATTTCCCTATAAAAGATCAGACAAAATAAATAAAAAATTAATATAACTTGAGATCTTTTAATGGATATTCCAATATCCTGGCATTTTTAATAACATAGGATATCAGTATACTAAAGTTGAGTGCATTAAAACTCATGACAACTAAATCATTATCAAAGGACTAAAGTATGTTTAGTATAGGCATACTTTGGAGATATTATGAGTTAGGGTCCAGACCACCACGATAAAGTAAATATTGCAATATGAATTTTTCAGTTTCCCAGTGTATATAAAATTAAGTTTACACTATACTGTAGTCTATTAAGTGTGCAATAACACAATATCTTTTTTAAAAAAGCAATGCGTATAACTTAATTTAAAAATATTTCATTGTTAAAAATGCTAATGATCATGTGAGCCTTCAGCTAGTTTTGCTGGTGGAAGATCTTGCCTTGATATTGGTAGCTGCTGATTAGGGTGGTTGGGGTAGCTATGGCAATTTCTTAAAATTCAATAATGACATTTGCTGCATGAATTGACTCTTCCTTTCACTTAAGATTTCTCTGTAGCATGTGATGCAGTTAAACAGCATTTTATCCAGAGTATAACTTCTTTAAACCCACAGTTTTTTCAACTAGGTTTATGTAATATTCCAAATTTTTTGTTGTCATTTCAACAACGTTCACAGTATCTTCACTGGGAGTAGATTCCATCTCAAGAAACCACTTTCTCTGTTTATCCATAACAAGCAATTCTGCATCGGTTCAAGTATTATGATGAGATTGCAGCAATTCAGTCATATTTTCAGGCTCCAATTCTAATTCTAGTTCTCTTGCTACTTCCACCACATCTGCAGTTATTTTCTCCACTCATCTTGACCCCCTCAAAGTTACCTATAAGAGTTAGAATCAACCTCTTCCAAACTTCTGTTCATGTTGATATTTTGACCTCCTTCCTTGAATCATGAATGTTCTTAACAGCATCTACAATTGTGATTTTTTTTTTCTAAAAGGTTTTTCTTTTATTTTGGCCAGATCCACCAGATGACTCACTATGTATGGCCAGCTACTGCCTTACAAAATGTATTTAAGTAATAAGGCTTGAAACTCAAAATGATTTATGGATCACATGGGCTGAAGAACAGATATTATGTTAGCAGGCATGGAAACATCATTAATTTCCTTTATCTCCATGAGAGGTTTTGGCTGAGTAGGTGAAATGTTAATGAGCAATAATATTTTGAAAGGAATCTTTTTATTCCTGAACTGCAGGTCTCAACAGCGGGCTTAAAATGTTTAGTAAACCATGGTGTAAACAGATGTGCTGTAATCCAGGCTTTGTTGTTCTGTTAATAGGGCACAGAGTAGACTCAGCATAATTCTCAGGGGCTCTAGAATTTAGGAACGGTAAGTGAGTATTGGCTTCAACTTCAAAGCACCAGCTACATGAGCTCCTAACAAAAGAGTCAGCCTGTCCTTTAAAGTCATGCACTGACTTCTCTTTTCTAGCTATGAAAATCCTAGATGGCATTTTCTTCTACTAGAAGGCTGTTTTATCTCCACTGGAAATCTACTGTTTAGTGAAGTCACCTTCATCATTTATTTTTGCTAGATCTTCTGGATAACATGCTGTAACTTCTCTATCAGAACTTGTTCTCCTACCTCACACTTTTATGTTATGGAGACTTCTTGCCTTAAACCTCAACAACCAATCTCTGCTATTTTCAAATTTTTCTTCTGTAGCTTCCTTACCTCTCAGCCTTCATAGATTTGAAAACAGTTAGGACCCCGCTCTGATTAGGCTTTGGCTTAAGGTACTGTTGTGGCTGATCTTCTATCCAGACCACTCAAACTTTTTCCACATCACTACTAAGGCTGTTTTACTTTCTTATCATTTCATCAGAGAAGCATTTCAATTTCCTTCAATAACTTTTCCTTTGTATTCACGAGTCGGCTAACTGGTGCAAGAGACCTAGCTTGCAGTATATATTAGCTTTCAACATGCCTTCCTCCCTAGGCTTAATCACCTCGAGCTTTTGATTTAAAATGAGAAACTTACAACTTTTCCCTTCACTTGAACACTTAGAGATCACTGCATATTAACTGACCTAACTTAATTGTTGTGTCTCAGGGAATATGGAGACCCAAAGAGAGGAAGAGAGATAGAAGGAATGCTAGTTGGTGAAAGAGAACAGACACAACATGTATTAAGTTCACTGTCATATACGGGCACCACTTGTGTTGTTTCAAAACAATTCCAATAGTAACATCAAATATTATGGTTAGCATATTTAAAGAAAAAAATTTACCCATTAAAGATCACACTATTGGCTGGGCACGGTGGCTCACACCTGTAATCCCACCACTTTGGGAGGCCGAGGCGAAAGGATCATCTGAGGGCAGGAGTTCGAGACCAGCCTGGCCAACATGGTGAATCCCGGTCTCCACTAAAATGCAAAAATTACCCGGGTGTGGTGGCAGGCCTCTATAATCCCAGAATCACTTGTATCTGGGAGGCAAAGGTTGCAGTGAGCTGAGATTGAGCCACTGTACTCCAGCCTGGGTGACAAGAGTGAAGCTCTATCTCAAAAACAAAA